TTATTTACCAGTAAGTGAAATAACAGTGCTAATCAAATTATGATACAATCAATTTAAGATTCATCCCGATTTCAGAAATGCTAAAAAGTGAAAAAAGATCTGCATCTTAGAGTTGATAAAATACGTATGTGCATACAAATTACATATGCACAGAAAAAAATAGAACATATTATACCAAAATAGTAACAGTGTTATCTGTGGGTGCTGTAATTAGGAGAAGATCATTTTCTTCTTTGTGATTTTTCTGTGCTTTCTGAACACAGGCTATTTGGGCAATTAGAAAAAAACAATAAATATATGTCACCCATCCCTCTGACTCATCTAACCGTCCTCCTTTTCTCTTTTTCCCCTTCTGTTCATTTCAGGTTCTTTGTCCAGACCCCAATCCAGGGCCATGCCAGGCCACGCTGGAGCCTGAGGAAAAAGGAAATTGGCTTGAAAGCAAGCAGACACGTCAACGATACTTTCAAAATCCAGTTCTTTGCTTATTTATGTCATTTTCATTGAGAGCCTGCCATGTTTGACAATTTCTCTTGGCCAAGTGATGATCTTAAATACATTTTAATTAACTTAAGCTGAAGTAAAATCATAGCAAATTCTGTTTGGTATAAAGAAAACATTTAAGCCCGAAATAATATTGTGAGTTTTAATATACCTACTTTTCACTTTTTCAATATTTTTTTCAGCTGCTTTTATGTACTAGAAAAAAATTACCATTTAAAAAATACAGAAAAACATGGATATGGGGGGCATAAATTTTCTTTTACCTCAGGCTCCAATATGGCTCAGCAGAGCACTACTCTTTATTTTAAATTGTTGATATTTTGTTTATCATAGTTTTTTCCCATACATTTTGATGTTTTTAAATACTGCATTATAAGTGGGGAGGTATAGTTCAGTGGTAGAACACGTGCTTAGCATGCATGAGGTCCTGGGTTCAATGCCCAGTACCTCCATTTAAAATAAATAAATAAACCTATTTACCCCCTCCTCAAAAAAAATACAATTTTAAAAAAGAAAAAATATTGCATTATATTCTACTTGATTACTGAGTTTTTTTGTTTGCCCCCATCAATTTTCCACCCAATGCACTTGCCTCGCTTTAGAATCCTGGCTCTACCCCAAGACCCTACCCTTCCTGGATTTATCATCCTCCCTTCCTAGATTAAGGGTGTCCCAAGGAGAAAGAAGTGGCTTGTTTAGCTTTGTGTCTCTGTCTCCTACCCAACACGGCACAGAGGCTCACACATGGCAGGCTCCAATGTGGTATTGTTGAAGGTACAAAGGGAAAAAAGAAAACAGCTAGTGATGACTAACATCCTAACATTTATTGAGTGCTTATTGTATACCAGGCACTGGGTTAAACACTTTCCTTACTTAATCTAACAACTCAACCATAAAAATAATATTATACCATGTTATGGATGAGGAGACTGAGGCACACAGAGGCGAGTGAATTGTAATGCATGAGTGATTACAGCAGAACTTGGAACAGCTCTGTTTGGGTTCCTACATCATTTCTTGCTTTGATTGTTTCTCTTCTGAGCACCGGAATGAGATGAGAAAGAGGAAGAGGAAATAAAGAAATAAACAGATGTGATAGAAGAACTGAAATATCACATTTTCACATCAGTTATCTGCTCCAGCTGCACAACCACCCTAAGGCATCACTAGTCCTCACAGATAAGAAACTGAGCCGGAAAGAAGTTAAAGGGATGTGTTACGTTCCTTCTGTTGATCAGCCACCGACAAAGAGTGAGGGAGGGGTGGGGGGGCGGCGGGCCTGCCCTCCCTTGGAAGGCTCATGGCAGCTTTTCTGGCAAACTTTCCCTCCTAAGTGGAGCCAGCACCTCCTCCTGATGGGCAGGTCCCCCTCATTCCACCCCACCCAGAGGTGGGCGTCCCCTCTCCTGGGACCCGAGTGCATGAGGAAGAGACTAGATAAGGGCCAAGGCTGGTGTCAGTAGCCACACACAGCTGTTCTGGTCTCACTTGCTTCAACTGATCTCCCTACCACACTTCCTGCCTTAAGCGGGGAACCCCCTGAAGCACACGGCTATGAAAAACAAAACTTCAGAACACCCAAAAACAATCTAAAATGGCCAAGAAATAAGAATAAGATTCGGGGGGGGGAGTGAAATTCACAGGACTTCCTGAGAAGCAAGGAATCCAGGCATGTCCTGCAGAAGAACTTAGTGATGGGAAGTTTCAGTCATAAGTCTGCAGAGATGATTTCTGGAGAGGAGTAAAGGAAATGTGTCTTTCACTGTATAGTTTTTTATAGTACTTGAATTTTTTTTAACCAGGCACCTTTATGGTGTTTTCAATGAAAGAAAACTATTTTTTTCAGTAGCCTGCCATGCAGTCACCATTCTGTGTGGTTCACCTCCAGACCTTCTTGGAGGGGAGGGCAGGGAGCTGGAACTGTTCTTCCTGCGAGGAGAGAATAGCTCAGCGCATGACACATTAGGGGTTGGGTCACACATCCTGTGGAATACATGTGCCTCCAAATTAGACAGCTAATTGTTCTGAGGACTAAGAGTCACGTTTAAAGTCAGAGTCAGCCAAAGTAAAACTGGATGAGTAATTTGCTTCCGGAGTATGGAACACACAACACAGACCGATACTGCTTCCTTAGGGCATCGCTCTCTCAAGAACCCCACGATGGGGTTGGTGGTCTGTCCTGGAGAAGAACTGAGGCTATGAGTCCAGCCTAGCCCATTACCCTCAGGTCTGATTGGACCCTGACCAAGGCTCAAGGGTCAGATCAGGATCACACAACCCAAGACCAAAGTTAGAGGAAGGATGGAGCAAAGACTCTAGGGTCAGACCTGCACAGGAGTGTTGAGCCCCCAGAAAGAGAAATGAGGAGCAGCATCTCACAGTCTTCAACAGAGAATGCCTTCATTCTGAGAAAGACAGCTGTTCGGCAAGTGACAATGGTGGCAGTTAGTGCAGTGGGAGTTAGAATTAGCCCTGAGGGTCTATAAAGGGACCGAAATGGATGATCAAGACAAACTCTGTAACAGAAGCTGACTCATAGACATAGGATACAAACTTGTGGTTGCC